AACTATATTATAATTGTATATACGACATTTTTCACATCTAGCCCCTCTGCGTATTTGCATATGTCACTATAATAAATTTAAAAAAAATCATGATTATTTTTAATAATATTTCTAATTTGACATTTTACAGAATTATGTATGTTTAACTTTTTCGATTCTTGACTGTTTTTAAGAAATAGTTTTCTTGTTTTCATGAAAGGTCTAGATCACTATTCGCTTCGGGGACTATTGCTGCTATCCACAATTTATCTATCTCTTTTTTTTCCAAAATAGTACAAAATCCAGGTTTGGAAAAAAGTGTATAGATCTATATGTTAAAACTTATGTGAAAAATATATTATTAAAAAAAATACAAGGCATCCCGACTTGAGTAGGGATGCCCTGTATACATGTACGAAACAAGTGCCTGTAGATTGAACCGAAAACCCGAACACAAAAATAGTTCAGCCTACACCTCTAGGCTACGCATATTATTAAAAAAAAAAAAAAAAAACAGGTTCATTGCTGACTAGAGGGGTTATTACTGATTACCGACTGCAAAGTGCAAAACATCGGCGAGACTCTTACTCCAATAGTATTTATGCATTTCTTTTAGAATTGAAGTTAGTCTTTCGTTAAATTCATTGATTAAATGCATTTTGGGTTTTCTGTAAATCGAATAAATTGTTGCAATAGAAATATCCATTATGAATATTTGTGCCAATTCTGAAATTAATTATAAATGTTCGGCTCCTAATCAATCAATCAATCAAAAGATTTGAAATACTAATTACTATCTTGAAAGCTCAGGTTAAATATCATACGAAATATATGCAGGTTGTTAGCATACTTTTTTCAATCCCGTAGAACGCGGGGGAGGGGGCACTTTTTCAGAGCACAGTAATTACATATAGTAAATTTTGCTTTAGCTGCTTGTTGCCCCCCCCCCCTCCTGTTTTTCTTTTGCTGTAAGGTAGAGCACTGGCAAATTCCATTATTTTAATGGCATCGAGCTCTTAAGCGCAATCTTTACGCTACCGAATGCGTCAGTCGATGCATCCGCAAAAGAAAATAGTAATAATCATACATCAATTTCTTTGAAAATGTTCACAATGAATAATAAATAAAATGAAGATAAAATTACATCAATTATATCTACAAATTATTCTGTTATTATATTATTATAAGATATCTTGTTTTATTTTCACACAAGAAAAACGTGAAAGTTCTTGCAGATGAATTTCTATCTAGAAAGGCTGTGTTGAATGACATGAATAACATTTCGGAGGGATAACCATGTAAACACAAACAAACAAAAGAAATAGGCGGTAAAATGATCACACTATTAAATTAACACAAATGCTAGAAGAATTTTACTGTATTTCCCCATTTCATGTATGCCTTAATATTTACATTTCCAATGTCTTTGTCCGAGATAAAATTACAAATTGTAAAAATACTTTATTTCTACATAAATCTACTAGTTCATCGATAGGCGCGGTTAAAAAAAAATCACGTGCGGGGCGGGACAAATAGAGACAGAAGCGGTGCTATTAGCACGGGCATTTGCAGAATCAGGAGCATGTAAGTATAGGGAATAACTGTCAGATTTTTTGGATTCATGACGATGATCAATCGATTGGCTTGCGTGATAATTTTATGCATAAACGCCTTCGGCGTTTATGCAAATTATCACGCAAGCCACTCGATTGATCACATCATGAATCCAAAAAATAAGACAGTTATTCCTTAATTATAACCACGCCCGATCACATCTCGATCGTTGTCGTAAGAGAGCGGGTCATGGTTGTAGTTTAGATGCACTAAATCAATGTTTAGACATTGACAATTAGAATAATATTCATATAAATTCAATAAATCCTTGATAGTTCTTCAACTAACTGAAAAAAAGATAAGTTTAATATTCGACGGCGTCTAGTCAATTCGAACCCTGCTCTATTCGGACTGAGGCATAATGCCCTACACTGTAATTTTGACATTTTGTTTGAAACTTTTTAAAAAAAAATTATTAGTTACCTGAGTCACTCATTTGACATACTTTAACAAATCTTTAAATTAAAAAAAAAAAAAAAAAAAAAAAAACTTTTGAAATTGTTTTTCATGTTCCATGCCATTGAAGCTTTTCAGACTTTTGATTTTAAATTTTGCTTGTCGGAATATTTTTGGACGTTTGACCCCCCCCCCCCCCACTTTTTGGTAAGTTTAGGTTCTGTTTTAGATACTCCGCAAGTGTTTTCCGTCTTAATTGGCAACATACATGAAGATAATTCAGAAGAGGCATCATCGTCAGTCGTGCAAGAGGAGGGATTTCCCCACATTGAGGTTTTGGGTGGAAACCACACACGGCAGGCACTGCAAAATTTAGTTAAAAGAGAAGGAAGTATTCAGAAGGTGTGCATTGACATTTATAAGAATCTCACGCCAACAGAAGCAATGCTCCTTGGGCTGAATCACAACGCCAAACACGAATACTCCAAGCATACTTCCTTTGTTGAACTAGTGAAACTGTTCAGAAAGTTGCGAGAAGAATGCCAATCTAAAGAAAAATCTGCAAAAAAATGCGCACTTATCTGGAGGGGACAGGTAGCAGTAATAATGGGAATGAGTGTAAGTAATAAATATGTTTAAAGTCTCTATAGTATTAAATGAAAGAGACCACTTAAAAAAACGACGGCTTTAGTAATTTAGTTTTAATTAGTTTATTCTTAATTGGCAATCGGTTTTCATAAAAAATAAAGTAGAATTTATTCAGTGGATGTAGATATTTATAATTGCACTTTTCTTGCTTGACAAAATTTCACTTTCTGCTCGATCCATGTAATTTTGATAAAGGTTTCTGTTTATGATACAAATATTACAAAGAGTATTTTTATAATTTTTTTAGTCACTGTGTCTACATGGCTTTGTTTGCTTGTGGGCCTGTAAATTGCTTTTTGTATATATATAGGTGTTTAAGAAAATGCCTCTTGTTTAAGCATATGCATTATTGTAAAAAGTGATATTCAGAAAATAGCCTGTAAATTCTTTTGCAGAAAACTAAACTAAAAAATTCGTACAAAACACATCTTCGCTGTGCATCATTAAATGATGATTTATGGATTTTATTGGACGGTTTTCTTCCAATCCTGGAAGCTGAATAAAATCAGAAATAAACCGAAAGGCGAGTTAAAGCAAACACATCTAATGCCATGGACACAATGTGAAGAAAAAAAGAAAGGAGAACTGTTGAGAAAGATAACAAATGGAGATCTTGATTTTGCCAAATTCAAAGAGCAGTGCTTAATGAGGTTAACAATTTTTCATGTCTTCCATAAAGCATAAAATTTCAGAAATTACGTATTTAAATTTCAGTATGGATTTTATACAAATGAATGCTCTAAACATTTTCTCATATATTTCAGTAAAAAGTCGCTTGTAGAATCAAACGTCCAAGAGATACAGGAAGATCAAGAGACTGATGAAGACGAGTAAGTATTAATTCATCTCTGTTCTGCTTATACATGTACATGTACTTCACTTTACATCCCTGCTCATAATTGTTTTTGATAAATAATGCATTTAAGAAAATTTGAACAAATAACGGCATTCTTCTTGAAATGAATAATAGGTTATTTATCACGTCAAATATTTTTATAGATGTCTTTTGACATAAATGTATTATCATTTGATATGGAAAGGGATTAATTTAATCAATAATACTAAAGGTCGAAAGACCATTTAGTGAAATTGTAAAGTTTTATGCACAACTTTCAATAATAAACTGAAAAAAATAATCATTGTCATCAGCAATATAAATTATATTTTTATGCCGCCGGATCTAAAGATCCCGGGGGTATATTGTTTTTGTCCTGTCTGTCTGTTTGTCCGTTTTTCTGTTTGTCTGTCTGTCTGTTGTCAACTTTAACCTTGCCCATAACTTTTGATTGGTTGGAGCCATGACTTTCTTTTTTCACATGTGTATTCCTTGTGACAAGACCTTTCTTTGGATATCAACCTCTTTGACCCTTTGACCTTGACGTAGGAGTTTGACCTACTTTTGAAAAACTTTAACCTTGGCCATAACTTTTGAATGGTTGGAGCTAGGGCTTTCATACTTTACATATGTAATCCTTGTGACAAGACCTTCCTTTGGATACCAAACACTTTGACCCTTTGACCTTGAAATAGGAGTTTGACCTACTTTTGAAAAACTTTAACCTTGGCCATAACTTTTGAATGGTTGGTGCTAGGGCTTTCATACTTCACATATGTAATCCTTGTGAGAAGACCTTCCTTTGGATACCAACCACTTTGACCTTGACCTTGACGTTTTACTTACTTTTAAAAAAAACTTTAACTTTCGTCATAACTTTTGAACAGTTGCAGCTAGGTCTTTCAAATTTCACAGGTATATTCCTCGAAACAAGACCTTTTTTTTGGTACCAACATTTTTTTTTATCTTTTGGCCTAGATTTTTGACTTGCATTTGAGAAACTTTAACCTTCGCCATAAGTTGCCATACGGGGGCATCAGTGTTTCACAAACACATCTTGTTTTATGATACATTTGTTTAATTAATCTATTGTTATGAAAATAAAAACTTATCTCTAAAGGAGGGAGTAATATGTTGCAATTTCAAAGTTAGAAAATATAGATTATGCCCTTTAACTATTTATCATGTTCCACATTAATAGAATAAATTGCTATTATAATGCATTTTTCACTAGGGATGTAAGCAGAAGTAAAGACAAAGCAGGGAACGATGGTGAAGAAACTGTACTTAGTGATGATGAAACATCTACTAGGTACATGGATGATTAATGTGCATGTATTAGAAGTAATTTAGTAACTAAAAGGATTAAATCATAATCAAAACTAAGAATCCTCATTGTATAATTTAATGAATTCAATCACTAATTCAATTACTAGTAATCAAATGGTGAAAATTTAAATTTATATGATTTTTAATTTAAAGAATTACCTCTTCCAGATCAGTTTCATTGAGAGACGATTCAGGAGAGATGGATATAGCCAACCCTTCTAGTACATGTATAATTGGGGACCTACAAAGCAAGCTGAATGATGAACAAAAGCGAAATGAGGATCTACATAGGAAGTTAAAAAGTGAGCAAGAAAAAAATGAAGAACTGAAGACAGAATTAACTATGCTAAAGTCTGAATTGACAGAGGTAAATTTTGCATAGCAAATAATTAAATAATTGGTGAAATCAGATGTAGAAGTACATGTGTTAAAGTAAGATTGGGAGTTAAAAAAAATAATTTTATGAAACAATCAAGGAATTAGAACAATTTATTCATTCTTTAGGCAAAGAAATGGTCACAGTCTTGGGAAGAAAAATTTCATACCGTGAAGGTAAGTTTTCTCGGTGAATATATCTTCTTGATTTTTATTAGTAAAGAAGTTTAGACCATGGATTCAGGTATTAAGCACATTTCTTAATCTCACATAATTTAACTTTGATAAAATTCTCTTTTTTTAAAAAGAAATCTTTTTTTTTTCAAATTGAATACTAGATTACTTTCCAGAAAAGTCTAAACTTTGAAAAGAATTATTTATTGTTAGTCAATATGATTAAACCTTTAAAATGTAAATTATAATGGTTTACTTTAATCTATCATGATTTTACAGCATCAACATGCGGAAATTCATCTTAAAATGATACAGCAACAAGATGCACTAAAACATGCAGAGGCTGCCGCTGCAAGAGCACGGATGAAAAGCAAAGTAAGATAGGAACACATTGCTTCTTCCATTTTGAAACCCTTTCTAAAAATATTGTTTACATGTCCACATATTACATTTCTCTAATATCCACAAATCTACATTTACAAAAATAATGTCAATTGTCTTTGGAAAAAATGTGCCCATGTACTAAAACATCACAGTATAGTTACCATAAATAGTAAAATAAAATATAAAAACAGCAATATTATTTCATTTTCAGACCGAAGAAGAAAAAAAGAAAAATGAGGAAACTCTATCACAAACTGAGGTAATTATTAACAAGCAATATACACGCATGGTGATGATATATTATTGCAAGCAGAACAAAATTATGAATATCTCAAAGTTCCATGATACATGAAAAACACCCTTTAAAATACTGCAACAGATTGTTAAACGACTCTGGAAACGAGATTGTTTTAAGGATATTCACTTACCAAACTTTAATAATTGTGTTTATTGATTAAAGTCTCTGCCTATTTTGTAGATTGAAGTCACTGAAAAAGGAAATAATAGCACTGCACCAGTTCTTCAAGACAGCACTACTAAGGTACATATATTCAATGTCTTCATATCAGGTTCTGTTTATTCATAATGAAAAAATATTGCTTGAAAAAAAAAAAATTGAAACTTTGGTTTACTACGGGTTATACAATGGAAATTGTAAATAGAAAATGGAACATTGCTCTGATAAATTAATAATTTGTAACTACAGGAATCGGTTCCTTAAGGCACCAGAAGTTTGGCAAGCTTTCAAATTCTGTACATATCAGAATAAACAAATTTAATTGTACAGTATAAATGCGTTGCAACTTAAAATGATTTACTTCAGATTCTCTTTTTCTATTTTAGGGAAAGAAAAGGAAACAAAAGGAAACTGAGGAGGAAGAAATGACTGAGGTAGAACATTTTATATTTATTACTCTTTGAGGGAAAAATAACACATTGCAATGTTTTCATTTTATCTATCATATAAAAAGTCACTCCTTGTACATGTTAATTTAAATATTTAATTAGGTCATTCCTTGTATATGTAAAATAGTTAATTAACAGAAGCTAACAATTAAAAAAAAAAAACGACCGGTTTAGAAGATGATGCTTTAAAGATACAAATTAAGATAAATTCATCATCTCCTAGAAATCACAGAATCTAGATTATTTGAAGTGGTTGATTTTTTTTAAACATGCTTGAAAAACGGGGGTATATAGTGATTAGGGTATCCGTCCGTACGTTCATTACGCTTGGGAGTAGCCGTTCCTTATCTTCATTGCACTTTTACTACTTGATAGAATTTAGTGAGGCTTTCACAAAATCTTAATTACGGAATGCAATTGTGAGATCCTATTTTACATTTTGATCAGACATATATTTAGGGTTTCCTAGAGCAAAACATAGACTTTGCGATTATTTTTGCTAGCACAGTGCTCACAGACACTCTAGTTGATTTTTGGGCTTTTATTAATGGTTGGCGATAGTGTGTGATGGTTTTTGTTCGTTTGATTATTGTTTAACGTCCCTCTCTCGAATTTTTCAATCATATGGAGACGCCACCACTTGCCGGTGGTGAGCTACAAATTTTGACCTATACTCGGCACTCAGGGCCATTGAGCAGTGAGGGATCTTTTTCGTGCCAGCACCTACTGCGGCACGGGACCTCAGTTTATACGGTCTCATCCGAAGGACCGGTCTCCACGTCCCACAGTGGGATTCGAACCCGCGACGTAAGGATCAACTCCTTACTCCGCGACTCTAGAGCGAACGGTCTAAAAACTATGCCTCGCGGGCGATGTGTGTGATGGTGGTTGGGATGAGTCAATCAATCAACCAGTCCTTTCGAAGTGTACATTCTAAATTGTTCAAATTATTACCCCGGGATTAGGGTGGGGCCACAATAGGGAATAAAAGTTTTACATTGAAATAAATAAGAAAAATTTGAACAGCAGAGCCACAATTAGTCATATTTATATGCTAGTATCCTCGGGTAGTTTGAATTCAAATTTGTTCAAATCATGACCTCAGGTGGAAGGATGGAGCCACAATATGTGCTCACTGTTTTACATCGTTATGAGCAGCAGGGCCGTTGTAAGTCTGGTGAACGCTGTGGCCCATGGGCCTCTTGTTTATTTTCGAACTTTAGCTAGTTATGTTGTTTTATTCATTTAAAGGGCTTTAAACATGGGAAAGTATTTTTAAGCATAATATTCTGAGAAACAACATCAATTGATAATTTTAACCTTATATGCTGATGAATGATTTTCAATTTCGTCTATAGGTGGATTGTGGATTGGTACAGTATGATGGAAAGATCTACTTTGGAACTTTCGAAACTTCAGAAAAATTTGTTTTTTGTAAATTACCAATTGCTACCATCAATGCAGAGAATAATGCTGTCATTATCGATGATCGAGCAAAGACCCGTGAAATAAACATGAGAGACTGTCAGACAGTTAACAAAGAGGATATTGTTCTTAAACAAAAAGGACGAATCGATGCCAAAGGAAATGTTATGATCGATCTAACAGTGAGTGCAGTGAAAGAGACCGTGAAAAAATTTATTAGAATATAAATGTAAAACATTGGATCTCTCTTCCTATCAAAATTATAATATTTCATGTAGAAGTTAACATTTCTTACTGGGAAGGGGGGGGGGGGGGGGGCAGCCAATGGAGGAATAAAGGAGGTAAAGATTTACGGGATTATAGGGGTCACATACTATAAAAGAGAAGGAATGGAAGCATATAAAACATTTTGAATTGATCAGGATTACATGATAATTGATATATTTTTGGGATGTGATAGCTCTTTTTAGTAACAAAACTAAATGTTTCAAAAGATGATATTTTGAGCTTTGAAGTTGTGCATTTTGTAACTTGAAGAGAATGATTTTTATGGATAATTTACTTTGTAAAGACTCGGAAGCTTAATATCCTACAATTGGTTTTAGTTGCAGTAAAAAATAAATGCGTTGTTGTGTTGTGTAAAATTTTCTATAATGGGAAGTTGATATAAATATAAAATTGTGTATTTTCCCTTTTTCACAAATGATTGAAATGCATCTTGTTTACTGTTAGATATCTATTTTCTCAAAAATATTCCGCGTCTCTACTATAGCCAGTGTAAGAAATAAATGCATAATTGCACTACATGATATTTTCCCCTGTAAGACCTTATTCCTGTCTAGAAAAGTTGCCCTTAAAATTAACTTTAACTGTGAATAAAGCATATTAGATGCAGTTTTTTTTTTCAAAAAAAAATCATAACAAATTTTGTAGACATTTACTTTGGTACCTTGAAATAATGTTCTTGCTTTTAATACAGAGCACTTGATTGAGAAAAAAAAATACCTAAGATTATGAGAGATATTCATCCCCTTATTTCTTAGTTTTGAAAATAAATACATCAAGATGAAAATATTGTCGACAATTTTGATTAATAAAATTTATCCTTCGAACTCTTAAGTTCAAAATTTAAACTGTAACTCGGGGGAGGGGGGGGGGTTGCTATCATCAAGATGTAATGTTTGTTTTTGCTTTCAAATAAAATATACTGTGTCATTGATATTATTGTATACTTGTAACATTGATGTTTTGTCTACCTCAAAGAATTTTCATTAAGATCTCGTTTGCATGAACAATTTATTATTGATAATCCTTTTTTATGGGAGGGGGAGGGGTTACCCCGTAGATCAAGTCTTGTAATCATCAAGTTGTGGTATTGTTCGTGCTTTGAATAATATATCATATTATTGATATTCTTTGAGATGAAATTTATCCAGAGAGTATTTTCTCATCAAGATGTAATGTATTTTTTTCTGTAAAAAATATATATCAGTTTATTCAATGAGAAGAAATTTACTTTGTTTAGTTCTGCTGTTTTCAATATGTAATTTTTTTTCTGTGAATTATATAAACTGTAGCAGTGATATTCTTTGGGGGGATTTACCCCGTAAAGTCTTGCTATCATCAAGTTGCAATGTTTGTTCTTGCTTTGAATAATATATACTGTATCATTGATACTCTTTTGGGAAAACCTACTACGTAGATACTTCTCAAAGTGTAATGATTGCTTTTTCTTTCAAAGTATAATATAAACTGTTTCGGTAAAATTTTAGAGAGGAAATTTACCCCGTAGATTTTTACTACCTCCAAGATACTGTGAAACATAAATTCTGTATCTGTTGTATTCTTTGGGGGGGAAAATTACCCCGTGAAGACTTGCTATCAGAAAGATGGTTGCTCCTGCTTTGAAATCCTTTATATAAACTGTATCAATTTCATTTTTGAGAGGAAATTTACCCTGTAGAGTTCAGCGATTTTCAAAGTGTAATGTTCGCACTTTATAAGAGTAGTTAATACTAGTACTGTATCAGTGATTTTCTCTGGGGGGGAAATTTACCCCGTAAAGTCTTGCTATCATGAAGATGGTTGCTTTTGCCTTGAACTACTGAATGTAAACTGCATCAGTATCATTTTTGAGAGGAAATTTACCCTGTCGATTTTTCTTGTGTTTAAGATGTTAAGAATCATAAATACTGTATCAGTGATTTTCTTTGAGGGGAAATTTACCCCGTAAAATTTTGCTATCAGAAAGATGGTTGCTTTTCTTTTGAATTACTATATATAAATTGTACCAATGTCACGTTTGAGAGGAAATTTACCCTGTAGAGTTCTACGATTTTCAAAGTGTGATATTCTCATTTTATTAGAGTACTTAATACTGTATCATTGATTTTCTTTTGGGGGAAATTTACCCCGTAAAGTCTTGCTATCACTAAGATGGTTGCTTTTGCCTTGAACTACTGCATGTAAACTGCATCAATATCATTTTTGAGAGGAAATTTACCCTGTCGATTTTTCTTGTGTTTAAGATGTTAAGAATCATAAATACTGTATCAGTGATTTTCTTTGAGGGGAAATTTACCCCGTAAAGTTTTGCTATCAGAAAGATGGTTGCTTTTCTTTTGAATTACTATATATAAATTGTACCAATGTTACGTTTGAGAGGAAATTTACCCTGTAGAGTTCTACGATTTTCAAAGTGAAATATTCTCATTTTATTAGAGTACTTAATACTGTATCATTGATTTTCTTTTGGGGGAAATTTACCCCGTAAAGTCTTGCTATCACTAAGATGGTTGCTTTTGCCTTGAACTACTGCATGTAAACTGCATCAATATCATTTTTGAGAGGAAATTTCTGTCGATTTTTCTTGTGTTTAAGATGTTAAGAATCATAAAAACTGTATCAGTGTTTTTCTTTGGGGGGAAATTTACCCCGTAAAGTCTTAGTATCATTAAGATGGTTGCTTTTTCTTTTGAATTAATTATATTAACTGTATCGATGTCATTTTTGAGAGGAAATTTACCCTGTAGAGTTCAGCAATTTTCAAAATGAAATGTTTGCTGTGTATAATACTAGTGAATACTGAATCAGTGATATTCTTTTGGGGGGAAATTTACCCCGAAAACAATTACTATCTAAAAGACGGTTGCTTTTGCTTTGAATCACTGTACATAAACTGTCATTTTTGAGAGGAAATTTACCCTTTAGATTTTTGCTATCTTTAGGATGTTGCGAATTATTAATACTGGAGGCATGTTTTTCTTCAGGGGAAATTTACCCCCTTAAAGCCTTGCTATCATCAAGATGGTGGCTTTTGCTTGAATTACTATAAATATACTGTATCAATGTCATGTTTGAGAGGAAGTTTACCCTGTAGAGTTTTGCGATTTTCAAAGTGTGATGTTTTTTTATGAGTTGTAAATACTGTAACGGTGATATTTTTTTTTTTTTTTTTTTTTGGGGGGGGGGGGGAATTTACCCCGTAAAGTTTTGCTATCTTAAAGATGCTCGCTTTTGCTTTGAATCACTGTATGTAAACTGTATCAATGTCATTTTTGAGAGGAATCTGCTATCTGTAAGTTGTTGTGAATCATAAATACAATAACAGTGATTTTCTTTGGGGGGAAATTTACCCCGTAAAATCATCAAGTTGGTTGCTTTTGCTTACTGTTATAAAGTGTACCAATGTCATGTTTTACCCTGTAGAGTTCTGCGATTATCAAAATGTAATGTATTCTTTTTCTATGATTAGTAAATACTGGATCAGTGATATTCTTTGGATGGAAATTTACCCCGTAAAATCTTGCTATCAGGAAAAGGTTAAGTTTGCTTTTGTTGTGATTAATTAATACTGTATCAGTGATATTCTTTAAGGGGAAATTTACTCCATGATCCTTGCAATCATTTTATTGTACATATGTCAAATTGTCAGTATTTCCTCTAAATATTTACATTTCAGTTTGTGACTTTAGATCGTCTTTCTATTAGAAAAATGCTGATTTCTTTATATTCTCATCAATAAATATCTTGTAAAACTGTGTTTTTGTTGAATTTTGTCAATACCTAAGGGCAAAATGCTTAAAACAGAAAAAAAGATTTTCTGTTTTGATTTTGGAATGCGTTAGTCTTAAAATGTGTCAAGGTAATTTTCGATACAAATTTGCGGTTGGGGTTATAAATGAAGGATAAAACCAGAGACCTCGGAATGGAATACTCGGAAGTCTCTGGTTTTATTCTACCCCCAACTGGAAGTTGTATCCCATCTAAAGTCTTAAAATGTATTGAGGTAATTTTCGTGGAATAAATGAGTGCTTTACAATAAAGAGACTCAACCAGAGATGTCTGAAACGATTTATTTGACAAGAAAAAAGTCTCTTGAAGCGAACGATGTCATTTTAAAGTAGGTTAATGATTGATAATGATACATGAACAAAATACGAGCTTGAAGCGGGGGTGCCTGAAATTGAGTTAGATACCTTGTGGTAAAAATAAGTAGGGGTGCACCGTATATGAAACAAGTGCCTGTGATTGATAGTCTGAAATTTCTCTTCACCTAAATATTAAAAGCTTGCAGTGATCGCTATAAATCTATACAACAGTCAAGTTACATATGGTAAACTAAAATAAAAACAAGATTACAACAGCCATGATTACAGAAGGTATATTTTGAAGACTCCAGGTCAGTTGGTGAATGTAAACAGGTAAACACACGTGGGACAGTCACCGCAAATATGAACCACAAAACGACTTATAACATTAAAATGTAAATATTCATCTGCACACAGATTTTTGCATGATAATAATAATTTTTAAAAGTGTAAATTAAAATATAAAATAAACAAACCTCAAACCTTGTAACAAGGCTTGTTTCCCTACAATCTTATTCTGGTTCTCTGTGGTTCACTGAAAATGCAGGGAACCAGGCTGCGTTATTAACTCGTACACAGATTTGTTGATACGAATAAACCTATAAACATATATACGAAATAAAATATTATCATAAAAAATGAAGAATTTCAAATTGCTTGAAAAATTATCTTTATGTAGTTTATAATAAATGGTTGTAATTGTTTATTAATTTCTATCTATCTATTAAAAGGATGACTGCACTTAAGGAAATGCGGAATTTGCGACAAAATAAACTTTCAAAACAAGCATTTTTCTTTTCATTGCAAGAATGGTCAACATCCAATCTACAACTTTATGTAATTACGTTTAATAAAAGTGTGTAT